AGTTTTACTGATGGGGAAAAAAGCCAAATGTTATGCATAATTTCAAAATATTCGCCATTATGTTATAAATCATAGATGCTGCAGACAGGCAGGATTTCACAGGTTCACCAGGCCACTGGCTTCCGTCCACGAAGGCTGGTCCAGCACATCAGAGGCTAAACCCGTCTTCAGGGAAATTCTGAAGTTGAGAGCCATGCAGGGTTGTTCGTTGCATTCTCTTCCTCCAGGAATCATTAGTTTTCAGTATCACCAGTGGATTGTCAGTTTCTGGGTGTCATTTAGTGTTAGCATTTGTGCTGCCACCTCAGTGACTTACGCCTAGGTCATTCCCATGCCTCTCTTGCAAACACTTCCCAGGGGTTTATGAACTGTTTTAAAGCCAATCTGGAATACCCTCTCCTATAATCTGACTCATTTCTCTATGACTGTTTCTCAATACAGTTAGGAAATCACCTTCTGTCCTTCACGCATTATCACCCTACATACTCAGAGAGGCAAATAACACAGAGCATTACTGTATCCATCTAGTCCTCCATAGTATGAAAATTAAGGAGAGGTCTGGGTAATATGATACAGGAGGTGATTAGAAAAAAGAAATTTCCTGTCTCTTTTTGGAAAGTTTTAGGCTTTTCTACCTCCTTTGGCAGTAGCTTTACACTCTAGACTATACATTTCTGAAGCTAGCCTCAGACAAACTTTCCTAGGTATTTACCAGCTGATCATGGGGGAAGCCAGCTCCAAGTTGTACAGATAGCAAAGGCAGCTCATTTGACTTTACCCACCAGGAAATAAAGAAAACTTCTGTTTAATGCTGAATTAAAGTGCAGCCTAAAAATTGAATTCTCAGGTGTTTTCCTTAGAAGCCTCACTATGTGTTCTCCCACTGCCATGGAATTGCTTCTCACCAAGTGACAGACTTTTTTCCCCATACAGTTCTCATCTTCTTCATTTCCTTCTGCTGGCTGAGCTCTGTGAAACCTAAATGCCATTCTTTCTATCTCTGTTGGGAAGCAGTGGAAGCTACTTTGGAATAACTACTGGACAGGGTATTCAGGAGTATTATTTAGGTGCTTGTTGTTATGGCTTGGCCTGGAATGTCCCCAAAAGACCCGTTCATTGATGGCTTGGTTGCCCATCTATGATCCTGTTGGGAGGGACTGGGTCTTTAGGAGGTGGAGCCTAGAGGGAGGAAGATAAGTCATTGGAGGCATGGCCTTGATGGTGCATTGGGACCTGAGCTCTTTCCCCCTTTCCTCTCTCCACTTCTCCCTCTCCTTCTTCCTCTTCCTCCCTTCTTCCTCTTCCTCTTCTTCTTCTTCCTCCTCCCCTCCCCCTTTTCCCTCCCCTCTCCCCCCTCCCCAGACCCTCCCTCCTCCTTCTTCTTCTTCATCATCATCTTCTCTCTCTCTCTCTTTCTTTCTTTCTCAATCTCTCTCTCTGTCTCTTTTCTGATCCTCACAAAGTGAGCATCTATCCCCTGCCTTGCACTTCTACCATGACAGACTGCAACCACAGGCTGAAACCTTGGAAACCATGAACCAAAATCAATCTTTAATCCTTTAAGTTGGTTTGCTTTGGTATTCTGTCACAGCAATAGAAATCTGATACATTTGATGTAGAAGTCACTCATCTTAACACAGTGTAGTAACTATCATTATTCTCTTATTGCTTTGTTATGGGATTTTGTTTTATTTTTTCATTAAAAAAAACCCAAAACAGATAGGTAAGGGTAAGGATAGAATGGTTGGAAATTTCTCTTTGTGTTTATGTTTCCATGAGCTCCTCATTCCAGCCATGGTGTGTGTATGTGTGTGCTCAAGCACACCTGTGTTTAACCAAGTGTGCCATCACTTTTAGAGCTCTCATAGTTTTAGAAGGCTGGAGTTTGGTATTTTTTTTTCTTTTCCATCCAATTCATTTTTAAATCTGAAATTGATGGTGATGCTCCTTCTGATGTACACCCCATCCCTCCCTACCCTCAGTCTTCAAAGGTGGCTGATGTAGTAAGTTCCGCCTAACTCCAGTCCTAGGTCTACAACAGACATTACCGAGTCCTTAGCCAACTCTGTACTCATTTAGGGCCTGTAGAAGGCATCAGTCTCCACTGAATCCACACCCTTTTCTGGGAAACTATACCACACTTCCACGTCCTCTGCAGCCAGCCCCACCACCCGCATCTGCCCTCCTGGTCTCAGAGGGCCCTGCAGCCCTGGCATCTCCTGGGCTCTACCTGAAGGTGGATGGAGCCACTGCAGTCCCTCAGTTTCCCCCACACAGGGGACTGCTGGAGAAGAGAAAAGGAAGGGACACATGGTCATGTCTCAGGACACCAGTCCAATTTCCAACTCTTTGATCAACTCTTTGCTTCTTCTCTTTCTTGTTTCTTATGCAAAGGCCAGAAAAATGGCTGACTTTTAGAATTCAACCAGTGTCCTTTTTCCCTTGAGCAAATATTTTAGAAATCCTTGAAGTCCAATCTTGGAACTTTCAAACTATAGTTTATTGCCATGGGTTTGAAAATTTTATTTTGGAGCTCAAAGCCACAGTTTGGTTTTCTTCCTGCATTCCTTCCATGCCATGTCTTCTCTGGGGAAATGAAGGTAGACGGCTCAATCACCTGGCATGGAACAGAGTTGGAAGGGAAGGGGCAGCAGGTGGATGGGTGGGGCAAGGTAGCAGATGGATGGTACCAGAAAATACTAGAGAGAACTCACATTCTTTGGGAAAAATTTAAAATTTAGTATAAAGGCAGAAAATGATTATCCTACTGCAATTGATATAAGAAATCATGATCCACTTCTAAACATTCTGCCATGAAATTTTTACTCAGTTCTTAAAATAGCAATGAGTAAAAGTCACGGCATCACCTAGTTGCCACATTTCAACATATTCTCCTTGACCAAATGCCTGCCCATGCATGACCCCTGCACTTTCCTCTGGATCCAACCCCTGTGAACTGAAGCACCTCACTTCTGAGATGCTTCTTCTTTTCCTCTAACATAAAAGCATATTTTCAAAGCCAGGTAAACTATGAAATATGAACAGAAGTGAAGGTGGGTCCAGCAGGATGCAGGTCTGTACAGGAGGAGCTTGGAAGCCTTCTGCAGCTACACTGGAGAAACAAAGGAAAAGGAAACAGAAGCTGCAAATGCACCTGCAGGCCAGCACACGGCCCCCAGACTGCCTCTCCTGTTAGGAAAACGCTCAAGCCTGGGTCTCCTACCAAGGGCTGCTTCCCCACTCCGCCCGTTACATCAACGTTTGTGCTGGCGCTCAGCTCCTCCGCTCTTTCTCCAAGGTGCAGCTTTGAGGTGGTCTTCGCTTGGCTGGTCGTACCCTTTCCTGCTGCTCTAGGTCTGCCCCTCCTTGCCTTATCCCCATGGAAACAGTCGGACCCAAGTTGCGGGCTCAGTGAAGTGTCAGATTTGCAGCTGAGCATTTCTTGGGGCAGGGGCTGGGGATGGGAAGTGAGACAGGGAGAGAGCGAGTGTTCCTCAGTCTTTCTCCCTTACACCTGCTGCTTTTTACTGTGCATTTGAAACCACCATCCTAGCTGCCTGTCAGTGCTGGTCTGGACTCTCTCAGCCAGGGGCAGCCCCACCTGCCCTTCCCACCTTCCTGCTCAGCCTTGTCTGGCTGTCTTCTCCAGCACTATTTCCATCTGAACTCGAGGCAAAAAGCACAGAGCAGGGAGCTGCTGCCTCTGGGGTTCTGAACGCCAGTCTGGCACCTTTCAAAGGAAGCAGGCTGCTTAACAGGCTTGATCAGCTCTAGGTTTTCAGCTTAGCTCCTTCCTCATGGGGAGGAGGCCGTCGGGGCTGGGATGGGGAGACAAAGACAAGGAAAGCCCTGATTGTCTTCTGGGCCGCCGAGACCCTCCGGGACTTGGATGTGGAAGGAGAAATTACTCCCTGGGCTTCGGTTGGCATAGGAATAAATGTCCTCTAGGCCCTAGGATGAAAGGAGAAAAGGGAGTAAAAAGATCTACAGGTATTGCATTCTTTTGAAACCTCAGTCCTGCTGTTTTCATGGGTGAAAATGACTGAGTGATAGGAAAACACTGGGGAAACTGAATGCAGTGGGAAGCACAGAGCGCTCCGAGCCGGGGTCTCTGCAGCAGCGACGTCCTCCTGCTCAGCCCGTGCTGCTGTGCCACTCCCTCTGCCACCGCTCCACACAGACAGGCTCCCTGCTGTGTCCTCCGGCCAGATTTCTCTCCAGTGCCAACCAGTCATCTTCTGCTTTTTTTGAATACAATGATACAGTGAAAAGGTGGAGATGGAAGGATGCGATTAGAATTCATCAGTGTGCTGCCACCAACCCCTGGATAGTGAAATTAGACAAGCATCAAGAAAGACCACCTAAACTTAGATAAACCTTGAGCAATAAGACAGTCCCATGATGCCAAATGTCATCCCACACAGACTGTTCTATCCAAAGGAAAAATGTATTTTTACTATAGAAATAGCTCTTGTCATGTGAT